GAATAAAAGAAACCTCCATAAAGAAGGTGTTTGGGTGCCTCACGAACTCTCCGATGATCATCGTTTCCAACATGTGAACGTTGCTTCGTCTCTTCTGGCACGTAATGCGCGTGAACCATTTTTGGACAGAATTGTCACGGGTGGTGAAAAATGGAGTATCTATGCAAATATTAAAACATCAAAAACAATGGCTCAGTCCTAGACAAAAACCACTTCCGACCCCAAAACCTGGACTCCATCCGCAGAAAGTGATGCTTTGCATTTGGTGGGATCTAAATCCCACCATTTAGATTTTATTTAGATTATAATATTTCGTTTATTGAGGGTCGCGGGTTCGATTCCCCGTCACCGAACATGTTCGCCCTTTCAGCCATTAAATAATATAATAAACTCATAACGGTTTTTCTTTTTATTAGAGACGTCAATTAATTTGTATAGTGTACGACCAATGTTTGTATATAAACAATGTTATAAAGGTGCTTTCTGATTAAAACCGTTACACAGACCTAGAACACTACTAAGTTCAAGCCTGAGCTTATATAATGGTTTGTTTGGTTTCGCTTGTTTGTTTGAATTTATGCACAAAGCTACACAATGGGCTATCTGTGCTCTGCCCACCACGGGTATCGAAACCCGGTTTCTAGCGTTGTAAGTCCGCAGACATACCGCTTTGCCACGGGGGGGGGGGCGTTTGGTTTCGCGAAAACTACACGAGGGCTTTCTGACAGTGATAAACTAGGGTAGAGACAACTACTCTTGGGCTACTTTTGTCTGAAGGAATATTGGAATTTAATTGTCACTCTTACAATTTACCCATGCCCCCCAGTGGCACAGCGGTATGTCTGCGGACTTACAACGCTAGAAACCGGGTTTCGATACCCGTGGTGGGCAGAGCACAGATAGCCCTTGTGTAGCTTTGTGCATAATTAAAAACAAAAACAAACAATTTACCCACGGCCCCAAAGTCCAGAGCGCAATTTTATGTATATATTTTGCAGTAACAGGACGCGAACCACGGATTCTCAGTTACACCGTCCGGCACGTTGACTGCTGGGCCACGTAGTTCGTGTATACAAATTTGTTTCTAAAACTGAAATCTTTCACAACATAAAAGTTAGATGTTTATAAAGTTACAAAACTGGTCATAAAACGTATATAACAAATTGATATCAGCATATAATAGCACATATAACAAATTGATATAAGCATATAATATATATATAAGCGTAATAACACGTGAAGTATTTATAATATCATGATCGAAATACTAAAATTAACCATAAATATACAATAATTCACAGACTGGCACGAAGTTTACGATGTTCATCAGCAGTTTTTAATTTTTCACGCTAATCAGGTGGAAAGAGTGATGGATTAGTTATTCCAGCAGGTATATACCAATCAGAGCATTCAGGATTCAAGATAACACGCAAAGCCTCCCCGACGTAGGTAAGCGATCGACCAATGCAGCACAGTCAAGGATAATAAAGAATCGATGTTATAAACAAGGTAAAAATAATTCATTAGAAATATATGATATACGAAATTACCAAGCTAAGAATATTTGGTCTCACGTATACCCGAAACAACAACGAACTGACATGTATACACGGAATATGACAGGAGCGTCCTAGTAATATCGATTACTCTGTTCTAAGTTGAAGTACCAATGGTAATGTAGCAGTACTTAAAGCTTAACAAATAATGATATAACAATATATGTGTTGTTAAGTTAATATTATTATTCTGTTCTAGGTCGTCGCTTGAAGTACCAATGGTAATGTAGCAGTACTTAAAGCTTAACAAATAATGGTATAACAATATATGTGTTGTTAAGTTAACATTATTATTCTGTTCTAAGTTGAAGTACCAACGGTAATGTATCAGTACTTAAAGCTTAACAAATAATGATATAACAATATATGTGTTGTTAAGTTAATATTATTATTCTGTTCTAAGTTGAAGTACCAACGGTAATGTATCAGTACTTAAAGCTTAACAAAATAATGATATAACAATATATGTGTTGTTAAGTTAATATTATTATTCTGTTCTAGGTCGTCGCTTGAAGTACCAATGGTAATGTAGCAGTACTTAAAGCTTAACAAATAATGATATAACAATATATGTGTTGTTAAGTTAATATTATTATTCTGTTCTAGGTCGTCGCTTGAAGTACCAATGGTAATGTAGCAGTACTTAAAGCTTAACAAATAATGATATAACAATATATGTGTTGTTAAGTTAATATTTCAACAGAAAAAAGTTATCTATAAAGCTTTAAATGAAGCTAACCAAAACATATGTTATTAATACATACTCTTACCTAAAACTTTACTCATAAAATAGTAAAAACTGAATATTGTATTGAATTATTACTGATTCAAAGGTCTTCTAGGCCAGACTGTTCTCTTGGACAAATTTTCTTTCTTATGTCTAATATTTGTAAGTTTTAATTCTAGTGGCTTCATGTTCTGCTCACACCACTCTTCAATGGTATACGTATCATATACTTGGCTCAGGGCTTTTTGTGCTCGGATTTTTAGCTGTTCGAGACTATTTTCGAAATAATCCTGAGATTGTGTGGCTTCCGACAATCTCCATGGGCTAGAAAAGTTATGTGACACGTGGTAAGTCGTCATCCAACCATTACCTTCCAGTTGTCGCAGATACTCAGTAAACTGTACGTTGAACATATAAAATGTTTTCATGACATTAAATATTTCTTGGCCGGCAAATTTGCAAGAAGAAAGGTTAATCAAGATCGGATCAGCAAAAAGGAGATTCAAGTCTATCATAGGTGGCATGTTGCAGCCTAGAGTTTCTGGAAGTTTCTCAAACAATCCATGGTCTGCTTTTCCATTGGCAACTGTCATCATGCTCAACGCTAATGACGGTAAAGCTGCAGGAAGAAGCTCACACAGCACAGCGAAATGGTCATATCTCTGCCAACCGGTTAAAGCAATCCCCTGAATTTTATCGAAGTTAATAGATTCTCTACGTAAAACTTCCAACCATGCAATGTTGTTTTCCATGTGCTTTCTGGTATTAGGGATGAATTCCTTTTCGCCGAAAGCTCCTTTAAAAGCACTTGCTGCCCATATACGCGGAAACACTTGTGAATATGTTTTCCATGTGTATGGCGTAATGAAGTTATCGATCTCTTTGACATATACCCAGATCATGGGCTCAACTATCCCTTTGTCAAGACCATAATTTCTAAATTCTGAAATTGAAAATTTACGAAACATATCGTCCCATACAATTGGTTGAACTGTATAGGTCCGCTTAACATAATCAGCCACAGACTTAACATGTGACGCAAATAACCCTCGAAATTCCCCTTGAAATTCTTGCCGCGCTCGTTTTTTACATTTATCACAATATCCGAGATGAAAGACTTCGTCACTACCTATGTGCAACCAACGAATACGTGGATGTAGAGCTAACACTTGGCCAATCATAAGTTTTACTACCTCTAAAGACCTGTTTTCACTGGGACATAAGGCTTGAGGATATTCTAGAACTTCGCGCAAGCTTCTGTATTCTTCCAGTTTCAAAAGGAATTCCAAATGACCAAACGTCTGTATTAGGGGTATTATTTCCAAGTTATTTTCGTTGGCCAATTTTAAAAATTGGTTAATATCTTTCTTCTTGTAAGCATTCTTAGCAGGAACGTTGCTAAGCTCTCCCCAGAATGGAAACATATCTTCATACTCCACCAATAATCCAGTAGCGCCACAACGACGCAACATTGGGAAAATTTCTTTGAAATAAGAAATTTTTGGAGGAGCACCTTTCAAGTCTAAATGTACAATTCGCATTTGAGGGCTGAAAGACGAAACGAAAGAAGCTGAAGCAAATTGCTGTTTGAGAAAATCCACATCACTCTTCTTTCCTAGTTGCTCCTCTGGTCTGTTTAAACTAATATCGTTGAATCTAAATAAGTCACCAAATTCGGAAGTCTTCCCTATCTGGAAACCTGTAGATTTTCTTTTGTCCTGAAGATATTTCAATGATTTGGCCATTTTGTACAAAGATTCAATCCTTTCAGCAGTATATGATGTTAGAAAACTTGATACAAGATAATAAAAGCAAATAGTGGTTACCACAGTACATAGAAAAATTGCTACGATCATCAGCACAAGTGGTGAAATGCGTCTTCTGCGACAGAAGCTATGAAAGCGCGTATATTTCATGATTCTTTTAAACACAAGTTCAAACAATGCACTCTACGTTTTTCATTCAAGCCAATTTAAACAGTAACTGGAGTGTCTGTTTTGTTTTTCAAATCATATACACGAATGTCATACACCGCTTTAAAATATCAATGAAGCTTATACTATAAAAAATATCAACTTCTGTTTGTTAAATAGCATTATCATTTCTAATTACATTTGGGAATAGAATAAGTCAACGTACCTTCGCCACAGGTGAACTAGCAATTGGACGCTACAGCATGATACGAGGATCCTGTGAGTTAGTTGACTTTTAGGCGATCGATAATCATTTGCTGTCGAGACTGCGACATAAGTGTTAGCTTATGATACAACTTTTACTTGAATAATTACTTTTATATATTAATTCTAACACATCGAAACAGGATTTGGTTAATAAATATATTTACCGTCTGATAAACATATCTACCATTATTCTGAATATTCGAACAAAATACTATCTGTCATTGGCATTCTTTACTTGTTATAAGTACGTTTTTGTAACAATTTCATGTAAGTAGAATACAGATTAAAACCATCCGAAAAAAACTACATCTAACTTATGCCAATACTGTATCAATACCTTGTTGCAACAGCTTCGACGGAAACAATAATAACTTTATATATATACATAGAGGATATATTATGGCAGTCTTTATAAGAGTAGACACCGCCATCTGTTGGTTGTTAGCTTGGGAAATGAATGGCGGTTCTATTGTTAAAACTAATGGTGATTTTAGTCAACTGCTACGTCCAAAGTAGCGGAGAGGAAAGTAACTACAGAGAATCCAATAATATAATACCAACATATTATCCCATAATTACACCTACAAAAACCGTCATCTTTTTTACGTTTTCGCCTTAACTTTAGTGTATATGTTTTATTCATTACTACAGGAAATGCCCGTCATGGCCAGGTGGTTAGGGCGCTAACCCGTCACACCAAACATGCTCGCTCTTTCAGCCGTGGGGGCGTTATAATGTGACGGTCAATCGCTCGACTCGCAATCTGTGGATTGCGGGTTCGAATCCCCGTCACACCAAACATGCTCGCCCTTTCAGCTGTGGGGGCGTTATAATGATTAGCTGCGTTTTTAGTGAAAAAACTGAAGCTTGAAACAGTTTTTCCGGGTCATCAGTAGTTGTTGAAAGTGTTTTTGCATTCAATATTTTAGAGCTTAATTTTGCTACAAAAACCTAATAATCGTTTCAATGTGATGAAATTTTTGACGACGCAAATTTAACATTATCAGGCTCTTGTATGGTATAAAGAATTAAAAATGTATTGAATACTTTTGATGTTACATCACTCTATCATTGGAACAATAAGTACCGTGAATACCGTATGGACGTTTTCAATATGGTGATATACTTGTAAGTTCTGTGATCTCACGACAAAAAGTATGGTCTACAAGAAAATACATATCTATCCTTTCGAACCCGCAAATTGCGAGTGGAGCGCCCTAACCACCTGGCCATGCCGGGCCTTTATATATCGAGAAATTGATCGGATGCCTTTTTGTTTGTGACGATGGTCGTAATTGTATTCTGCCTGTGAAATGCGATAAAGTACTAAAATATAATGCTTTCTCGTGGAAATATTCGTCCTGATGTAGAAGATGCAGAACAACACTTGGAGGGACTGAAGACGGTTACAAGACTAACAGCTACAGATATATTATGTTAATCTTCTGGGGGGGGGATCATTGAATTTGTAAAAAATATTATTTGTAATACATTGTAAAATTACTTTGGTGTTGTGTTTTAATATTCATTATTGACAATTGCCGTTCTGTTTATATGAGACAATTTGGTATTCCATGTCACACCATAGGTGCACACACACCAAGCTGCTCTAACCTGGTTTCTTAGACTATCCATTGTCTGATTGCTATAGAAACAGAGCCTGATTTCAATTGGCAGTTCAACAGGGGTCGAAAATCATTGGAAACTATACAATTAGGCCAATTCAGGTTAATTTTGTTAACCTCGCTTTCAGCTATTAGCCTTTGCCAATGCCTTCATTGTCTTTCTCGGAGACTGTCTCCCATTTACAAACTGCACAATGGTTCTGGCATGAAACTTGCCATTGTTCCATTATACGTAGAGCCAGCCTTTTTCAGGCCTTACAACTGTATTTTGTAATGTAACAACATTAATAAATATTCTGTTAAATTTATTTCTTGTAAAATATTTCACTCTACACCACTTTAAATATTCCTACCACAATCATGTAAAATGTTGGATATACCACATGCATATT